AAAAAAAAAAAAAAAAGAGGTATCTTACCGCTAAACCGATTCACTACAGAGCTATAGGAATAACACCCTATGATAAACTAGGGACTATTTGTACATGTAGAAATGGTTGAATTGGTGTATATGTTGCTATGTATATATATTCCCAATAATATTTTTTGTTGTTTTAAAGAAAAAAGGGCTATGACTGAATGAGAAGGAGGGCTCTGTTTGACTAAAGCAAATTAGGAGAGATTTAGAAAAGATGACATTTGAACTAAATCTAGACGACTAAGTCTGAGTTTGACAATCAGTGGAGGAAAAGGACATCTTAGTTGTGTGTGTGTGTGTGTGTGTGGGGGGGGGTTGTAGCAAAAGGTATGGATACAAAGCTTTTGAAACTGACTGACTTCTCTAAGCCCAGCTTTATGCCTTAGGAAGCGGCCACAGTATCTGACACACAGATGAAAGCTGGATCAACTGAAAGCAGCTCACCAACTAAGGAAAGAAACGCACAGTCATGTTCTGAGGACAGTGAGTGAGTCATTTTCAGTGACTGGTGTGTCAGGAGGCCAGAAGGGGGCTATCAGGGGTTCTGAATACCAAAGCTCATGTGAAGGGGCTTCAGAAAGTTTGTGGAAAAATGGATGAAAAGATCACGGAATTTTCTCAAACTTTCTGAAGCCCCCTTGTAAATGTGCATTTGATTTCAGGCAGAATGAGGCATTCAGGGTTTCTGAAAAAGAGGGATACATTCTGTTAACCAGAGAGGTTCTATGAGGGATTAAGACATCAAAAACGGTGGCAAAAAAACCAATGGAGAATAACAATTGAATTATTTGATATGAGATGAACTAATAAAACTGCTATCAAACACTGGAAGACAGATCCTGCCTGTGATCAGAATGGTTGTGAGGCTAAGAGGGAGTTAGACCATGCATTACCTATGGTGTATCTTAATATAATTAGCATTTGCCAGAACAATTCAATGTACAAGGTGTGTTTTCCTCCTTCTTTTGCTGTATCTATTTAACTTTCAAAAACATGGACATTCAAAAACTTATTCCAAAAGTAGTACTCTTGTACTTTCAAATAATTTGTATATATAGAAGGGAGCCCTGGTGGTGTGATGGTTAAGCATAGGGCTGTTAATCACAATGTCAGTGGTTCAAACCCACCAGCTGCTTCAACCAGAGACTCCCTATGGCTCAGTTCTACTCTGTCACATAGGGTGGTCATGGATTCAGTAGCAGTGGGGTCACATGAGCGGCAATACTACTTACACTGAAGTATAGAACCCAAGCTTTCTCTAAAACACCCGCACATTTAAAAAGTAATGATTTATACTTAGTATGTATAGGTACTGAAACATTAAGGTTTGTGATCATGAAATAATATTCCTTACAGTGACTAAATGGGCTAGACTGCAAAGTTGGTTTGAACTGCAATGTCGGTGGTTCAAGCTCACCAGCTGCTCCTCGGAAACCCTATATGGGGTCGCTATGGGTAGGAACCGACTCGATGGCACTGAAAACAAGAGTACTAATATTCAATATTCTGGTGGTATACAACAGTGTTCCACTGCTAATCATAATTTTTCAGCGACTAAATATTTGGAAGTAGTCCATCTTTCTCTCTCAGTAACCTCATATGGATGTGAAAGCTGGAGAGTGAATTAGGAAGACCGTAGAAGTATTGATGCATTTGAGTTATGGTGTTGGAGAAGAATATTGAAAGTACCATGGACTGTCAGATGAACAAACAGATCTATGTTGGAAGAAGCATCATCAGTGGCCAAACTTCAACTCTCATACTTGAGACATTATCAGGAGGGACCACTCCCTGGAGAAGGACATCATGCTTGGTAAAGTGGAGGGTCCACGAAAAAGAGGAAGACCCCCAACGAGATGGATTGGCACAGTGGCAGCAGCAATGGGCTCAAGCATTTGTGAGGTTGGCGCAGGACCGGGCAGTGTTTGGTTCTGTTGTGCATAGGGTCGCTATGAGTCGGTACCGACTCGATGGCATCTAACAACAACAACCTACAGTGGATAATCAAATCTAGACATCAGCAACAAGTCCGTGTTTATGACTGTCAATTTCCTGATCAAAGAAAAATAAATCACGTATTAGAATAACTTCATCACGCTATACAAAGTTGTGTTTATAAAGGCGGAGGGCTGGCAGCAAACTCTGCTAAGGGGTTCACTCCAGATGCGTCCACGTTCGTCACCACCAAATCCGCGTCTGCGGGTTCCCCTTCTTCCGGTCTCTATCATTTCCAGTGCCCGCAGGGGCCTAGGGTGGAGGCCAGGCAGACAGCACTGCCCACCAGCCAGGGGTCCCGGCGGCTGAGCCAGGTCTCCCGCTCTAGAAGACGACGGTGGCCGCCCAGCTCCAGAGCCCGCCCCCAGGGGCGTCTGAAGAGGGAGGAGCTTGACTTGGGGCTGGTGGCCGGGCCCATCCCTTACCTGCGCTAAGACGATGAGGCTGCCCTGGGGCGCCGCGAAATTCATGCGGCCCTTGTACCAGGCCACGCCAGCTCCGGTCAAGGCCGCTCCGGCCACGGCCGCCGCCAACGGCGCGGGGCCCGGCCAGGCCCGTCTGCTGGCAGCGAAGGCTCGCCGCAGTCGCTCGCGCCAGGTGCCGAGCAGTGCCACTCGGGCGGCTGCCGTCGCCATCTTTGCGGAAGTGCCTAGTCGCGGCAGCCTGAGCCGGCAGGCGGCCGAGCCTCGCGCCACCTCCGGGGAGCCGGGGAGTTCCTCGCGTGCGCCGTTATCGCGAGATCCGCAGCGGCCTTATTTGCAGCCTCCGGCACAGACGTCTGTATACGCTGCTGTAGCCCTGGGTTGGCGCTCGCTGCAACTTCCTGAAGGCGATCGCTGAACGCAGGGGTCGCTTTTTGCCAGAGTGTAGTGGTATAACTGGAAAAATGTCAAAAAACACAAACAGGCCTCTCTAAGGCAAGAGAGTAATCTCTATTGTATGACCAAGTCAAACTAGTTGCCTTGGACCTCTTGTGTTTCAGAGTACAACTGTGCTGCATAGAATTTTCAATCACTGGTTTTTTAGAAGTAGATCACTGGGCACCTATGTGTGTGTGGGCTTGCTGTAGGGGAGAAATGAGACCCCATTTTCAGATATATAGCTATAGTGTGCCGTAGAGTTGGTTCCGACTCTTAGCGAACCTGTATCGGGTTTCTGAGGAGCCGCTGGTGTGTTTGATCCACCGACCTTGTGGTTAGCAGTCCAGTGCTTATCCTACAGCACCACACCAGGACTCCTAATGCCTCCCAAATTTCTGCCTCCAGCTTTCTCATGTCCACTGAATTCCAGATTATAATATCCAACTGTTTCTCAAGCATTGGATGTATATTGAGAACAAATCCAATGTTCATTGGACGTTGTACATGCCAGCGCTGTGAGCTAGAACGGACACGGAGAATTGTGAGGAGTCCAGGTGTGGCGCTGTGGGTTAATGCGCTGGACTGCAAGGTCGGCGCTTCAAGCTCACCAGCCACTCCTAGGAAACCCTCTGCAGGGTCGCTATGGGTTGGAACCGACACCACAGCATCTAACAACAACAAGTGTTGTGAAGGAGCCCTGGTGATGCAGTGGTTGTTGTTGGTAAGTACTGTGGAGTCGGTTCCGACTCATAGCGACCCTGCACAGGGTTTCCGAGGCTGCAAATCTTTACGGGAGCAGAAAGCCTCATCTTTCTCCCGTGGAACAGCTAGCAGTTTCGAACTGCCGACCTTGAGGTTAGCAGCCCGATTCTTAACCACTACGCTACCAGAGCTCCTTATGCAGTGGTTCAACACTGCTAATCAGAAGGTGGACCGTTTGAACACAGCAGCCTGATCCCATAATGAAACCCTATGGAGCAGTTTACTCTGTCCTATAGGTTTCTGTGAGTCATATCATCATGCACTCAACTGGCAATGGGCTTTCCAGTTAAAAACTGTCTTTAAATTGTGTGATAAGCCTTTCTGATGGTCCTGATCTAAAAGTACAATCTCACCCTTGAAGCTATTGGGCGTGTGAAACTAACAATTTCTATGGCTTCTTGAAAATCAGATTTGCTCTGAACTCCACAAACCTTCTTGTGTACTCATTTCTTACCAAATTGTTGATAACATGTGATTTAAGAATCTGCAATAGCTGTAGATCATTTTAAGTAAAACCAATCAGCTTGCCCAGCCCTAGTAACCAGCCCTGGGTTTAAAGCTTGGGTGTGTGTGTTCCCTCTTTAGCAGCTAACCAAACTTTTAATTAAAAAAAAATTGTTGTTGTTGTTACAAGGAACCCTATGTAGAACAGAAAGCAAAGCTGTCTGGTCCAGGACATCCTCGTACTTGTTATGTTTGAACCTACTGTTAAAGCCCTGTGTCAATACATCTTGAGGGTCTTTTTAATTTTCACGGACCCTCCACTTTACCAAGCATGATGTCCTTTTATAGGGACTGGGCCCTCCTCATAATGCCTCCCAAATATATATGACAAGTCTCGCTAGTCTCCCTTCTAAGGGGAATTCTGACTGTACTTCTTTCAAGACAGATTTGTTAGTTTTTCTGACAGTGCGGAGTACTTTCAGTATATTCGACAATACCACAATTCAGATACATGTGTTCTTCTGTGGTCTTCCTTATTCATTGTGCAGCTTTCACATGTGTGGAATGGCTGGCACTTAACAACAACAATAACAACAAACACTGCCTATGCTCCTACGCTTGACTGCTCTTTCATTTCAACTAAATGATGTGAAAGTTGCCGACTTTTACCTTTGATGAAATGTTTTCTTCCAGGATTTCAAATCTGAATTGGCTTGATCCCTGCTGAGAATTTGCCTTCTATCCCAGATACCATTGGTAAGTCAAAAAGTACTGCTATTAGGGTTCCAGTTCATACATGCACTCATTTATTCCAAACAAATCATGTTTTAACACGTCTCTGTGATTAGTAGATGACTTCAGACAAGTTCTGTCAGTAAAACATTTTCAGTTTCCTTCGTGGTGGTGGTGGTGGTGTGCCGTGGAGTCGGTTCCGACTCATAGCGACCCTCTCTGTAAAGGGTTTCCTAGAATGTAAATTTTTACGGGACCAGAAAGCTTTACCTTTCTCCCACAAATTAGCTGATACTTTCGAACTGCTGACCTTGAGGTTAGCAGCCTAACTTGTAACCCCTGTGCTACCAGAATTTTTAGATAAACAAAACAAAACAGAAATTCAATTGAAACTGTGATTTCCAAGGGGATCTGCTGGGTTAGTTAAACTCAAGGTCAGCTCAGAAGGTTATGGATACTGTTTTTTGGGATTTCTAATAGGTGATCTTGGAGTCCTGATGCACTAGACAGCCAAGTCGATATGAACTGCAAGGTCAGTGGTTCAAGCGTACCAGCAGCTCCTCAGAAACCCTATACAGGGTCATTATGGGTTGGAATTGACTTGATGGTATGTAACAACAACAATGACAATAGGCAATCTTGGTAGAGGTTCTCAAAGGATACAGAAAGATCACAGGGGCTTATTATGAAGAAGTTTCAAGAGAATTGAAAACCACATTGATGAGAAAAAGGCCAGGAGACAGTCGAGGACTTTTTTGCCCATCATGATAGTGCATCTGCTCAATCCTTGAGGGTAGTAAGGGTTGCCTTATGTAAACCTCATGTAAAGTCAGAATTGACTTGACATCACTTAACAATCCTTCACTGGAAAACCGTACCCCGTCTATCCTATAACCCTGACCTTGATTCTTCAGACTTGTTTCTGTTCCCCAAACTCCAATAACACTGAAAAGGAACACAATCTGAGTTCCTTGAGAATGCCTAAACTGTCATTCTGAAGAGTGCAGAATTCTTCCAGGAAAAGTTATAGACATGAAAGTACCGCCTTCGGAAGTATAAATACCAAGATGGAGGATACACGGAGAAACAATAGCTTCACAATTTGATATTTTTATTTAACAGAGTTATCTACGACTTTGTGGAAGGAGCTCTGGTACCGTAGTGGTTACAAGTTGGGCAGCTAACCTCAGAGTCAACGGTTCAGAACTACCAGCCATTCTGTGGTCGAAAGATGATGTGCTGGACTGTGGGTCAGGGTCACCAGCCACTCCTCAGAACCCCCATGCAGGGTTGCTCTGAGTCAGAATCGACTTGAAGTCACTTAACAACAACCATGATTTTATAGCAATATTTTTTGACTTATCCTCTATATTGAATCAGAATCTATTTTCCAAAATCAGAATCCACATTTTAACAAGGTATGTGGGTCCTGATTTACTCTCTCTGGACAGGAAAGGCACATTCTCAGCAGGCGGAATTGAACTGGAATGAACTGGTTTGAAGCTCTGCTTTCATATGAGGACCCAGACAAAATTATTCTCTTTATTTCAGGTGATCACTCTCTGCGGAAAGTTGAATGTAAATTTAGGGCCAACAAAATATTTGAAAGTTGATGATTATCCCACCTGGGACTAAAAGCTGGCACCAGATTCAGCAGCACCCCACCCCACGGGTTTTGTAGGCCCGGGTCAGCAGGGATTCAGCTGCTTCCCCTAATTCAGACTTGGAGCAATACCTCGGTCCTGGCAAGAAAGGATGGCTTTACGGAGGCAACGGACTTGGGTTTCTTTTCCAGATGCTGATCTATGTTCTCTGGTCTTCCTTTTTCCTAAGTAAACTTACTTAATGAGCTCTTTGTTTAGCTTCTGAAATGTCCCCACAGATGAGAGGCTTTCTGGGTTTGGATGCAACAACTTCAAGTTAAAGGCTAAAGTGTCAAGGCTCCTGATCTTATAATCATTGCCATCTTGACATTTTGCAAAATAAGAAAGAAAGAAACAAGTGTCACATGAAATCTAATGTGAGTACCTACTCGAAGTGCCTTGGATCATCTTGTTATGATCCACCCTTACTCCTTGTTCCCCTTCTCTTAGCCAGCTTGTCTACATTAATTTGCCGTCAGAGTTTCTTCAGGCTTCACCCCCAGCTGCTGAAACCATTTTCAACGTGTCTTTCCAGGCAGGAAGTAAATAGATCAGACTCACTGTGACATGTGAGCCAGACCACAGGGATTGAATCCTGCCTGTCCCAGGATGATCATTGTGAGTGGGGACCAGTAACTTCATCTCTGTGGGTCTCTGTTTTCTCTTCTATAAACAACTCTCTCAGGCTTTAGGTGGGGAAATGAAATGAGACATTCTATATGAAGTAACTAGCCAAAGGCCTGGCATACAGTGGGGCTTACAACAGATGTGATTTTACGTTCTTCGATCTCTGGCTTCCTCCTGCTCTTGGATTACAAATGAGTTTGACTGACTTTCCTGGCTACTCGGATTCTACATTACTAGCCTGTCTTAACCTTAGAGACTTTTCTGTCCTTTTGTAATCAGCTTGAACTCCTAGACCCTCTTGATCTGTTTTTCACCACTGCTAACTCTGGCGACGCTTGGCAGAATGGCCTACTGTTTTGGATTATGAGCATCTAGATTACTTCTGCCCACTGGCGACTATAGGATTTATAGAATATGTTTTGATTTCCTAGATAGCTTTGTTGTTGTTGTTAAGTGTCGTCAAGTCAGCTCCGACCCATAGCGACCCTAAACAGGGTTTCTGAGACTATAAAT